TAGAGTTAACCTTATGACTCTGAAGGAGGTTTCAAAGGACACCCATTAACCCAGGGATCCAGTGCTTCTGGGAATGGGTGAGGCGTGGACGGGACATGGTTAGGTTGGTGAAGAGGTGAGGAACTGGTAGGAGGAGACACATCTGCACCAGGACAGCTTTACTGCTCCCCCTGAGGGTCAGGGGAGAACATGGACCTCCAGATGTGGAATTGGAATGGGGAAGGAAATGCCCATTCCAGGGGCATCCAGAGGCCAGGGCATGGAAGACTGACATGAAGCTGGAACAGGGCCAGGGTTTTCAAAGGTGTTTCTTGAAGTAGAGGGATGTTGAGAGAGATGAGTGGAGGGGGCTCTGGGGGTCAGTGGTGGAAAGAAGGGCACTATGCACTGGCAGGGCTATAATACAATATATATATACTATCCAGTACCCACTTGCCCCTACGAGCAATAGAGAGATTCCTGTGTGGGTCTGCAGTGTTGAAAACATCTATTTATTTTGTCTACCTCCATGATTAGGAGGCAAATTTAGGGCTTATCTACTTGGGGAAATCCCTGTAAAATAGGCTAGGGTATGAATTTACAGCCTACTTAAAGACCCAGCAGTAGATGCAGTGTAAATTCACACTTCAGCTTACTTCACAGGAACTCCCCCGCAGAAACAAACCCTCAGAGTCACCTCTGTACCTCAGTCTGGTGCTAAAAGTGAGTGGAAGCTTTGCAAAATGTGGGCCTGCAGTTCCATTTTTATAGCTGGGTTTTTCTGTCTCCTGGGGCTTTTTGCAGCTGCTATAAATCACTGTTGCTTTGCTGAGGCTGGAGAAGCTGGGCCACTTTACACTGTTCAGGATCTGACCCTTTGCCTCAAGTAACCTTTTTTATCAATCAGCCAGAGGGTATTTTCCTTTTTGCTGGCTTCATTATTAAGCTTGTTCATTCACTCCCACCACTACTGATGGCTTTTTTTTTCTCTTTTTTTTTTCTCCCTGTGAATTTTGTGTTGTATCTTTCCTCCCATGTAATTTCCTAATACTGAACTAGTGACAGAGTGGGCTGCTGGTATTTCATCTTGTGGCTGGAGAGGTCAGGCTGTTTCTGATACAGACAAACACTCCATTACAGTAAACTCACAGAAAGTTTCCTTTTCAACCTGAAAGGAGAAGGAAATGCACTTTCCACCAATGGGCTTTCAAGAATGATTTCTGTGAGCTGAACTTATACTAAAGGCCAGTTTGGTCATGTTCTGTGAGCAAAGGGAAAAAAAAAAAGAGGAAGACGTAATATTTTTTCTTTCTCTTTTTGCTGAGATTTGGCTTGACTCTTGGCTCCTTATCAGATTAGAGTCCTGCAGGGAAAACAACAACTCTTTGCACTGTGAGTTGTTGAAGAAATGGTCATTGCTGATGTCCAGCTAAAAGAACAAATGGATTTAAACCTTCAGAATTCTCTGTCAGCTTCTGGTATTTAGGGAAACTTGCTTTTTGGCAGGAAGAACTTGCTAATAAGGCAAATACATAGCACAGTACATTTCTTGCTGTACTCTAGGGCAAGACTAAAAGGACTGCCCCTGTCTACTTTATGGCAGTTTAATTTAAATTTATTAGACAGCTCCAAGGTATACACAGGAGTCTAATCCTGTAATCCATGGTGGGGCTCTGTGTACCCAGTATTGCAGTGTTCCCTGTGCATGGAATAATTTGACATAAAATGTGCTCTCTACTTCTCAGGAGAGAGCTAATTTAACAGAGTGTTGTCTTACTGCTCACTACTTGGACTTAGCTGAGTTACCCTTTATTAGAAAGACACAAATAAAATTAATCGAAGTGTTGAAGGAACAGGAGCTGCAAGATAATAAATATTTATGTTCCAAACATGACACAGTATCATAAATCAATAATTTTGGAAGAGATTTAAGTCTTCTTTCTGCCTAATTACTTTATCTGTGGCACCAGTTTGCTTAAATTTGTTTTTGTGATAACTTGAATTATTTTATACCTCTCCCTTCTACAGAAAATTTAGTATTGATTTGCTGATTTCCTCTTAAAAGCAGTCAAAAATCTCCTGTTTGCGAAATTAAGAAACCAATAACATGGAGTGAAAACATGCATTACACTGGTTTGCCTGAGCTCTGTGATTTGTTGGCACTGACACACGCTGCCAAGTACTAAAATAAATGTTTTTATTAATTATGTACCGGTTTATTTTCTGTACTGTCCTGGCATTTTACCTATATGAAAAAAATGGGTTAAAGAGTAGTTAAAAGTTTGGTTCATTTAAGTGTGGGAGCATATTATCAGTTGAAAAATGTTATTTGAAAGATGACTTTGAGCTTGAAGCTGTTCTATTATTGGAATGAACATGGCAAGGTCAGATGCAGACCAAGTGAAAAGGAAGTCAATGGATGTGTTGGCACACATTTGTGGTGGGTGTAAGTCACAAATGTTGTGTACACTTGATAGTCTTCTCCCATCTTTCATAGACTGATTTTTATTATTTATGAAATACTTGCAGGGAAGGGACTGTGTGCTCCTGCTGCTCTTGGTTTGTGGTGTATCTGCCTGCAGCAAATGCAGAACTTGGTCTAGGCAGCCTGGTTAATTTATAAGCCTTGGAAACAGGATCTTCTGAGGAATAGTACGGGACAAACTGCTGTAAGTAGTGCCTTCAGAGCGTTCAGTTCATGTTGCTTAATAGGCTTGTTTCAGCTGGTGGCATGTGCTTGGATGTGACTGATCTTTTAAAAGCTGGTTGGTGAGGGATGTTGTCCTAAGCTTGGGGAGCCCAGTGGAGCAGTCAGTGCCTGGCTGCTTGACACCGTGTGCTGACTCAAAGAGAAACCCTTTTTCTTTCCAGATGTAGCTGACATAGACACTGCAGACATTTGCTCTCCTGCCTCAGCCACAGGGTAGGTACAAGCCCAGCCAGATCAGTATCTCACTGCCATTGCAGACTCCATGCCAAATCTATGTGTAAAGACATCTCAATTACTCTGGTCAACATTCCCATGTGGAAAGAATGGGTAGGATATTTCAGAGGGAGAACAATCCACAAGTCAGTGATCAACAAAGCGTTAAATGAAGAATGATGTGTGCCACTCGCAGTATTCACACTTACAGGGAATCTTTTCAGAGCCTGACTGTGCCGTATTTCATCGATATACCTGCTTAATGTGTTCAGAATGAAAATGCACAAAATCCCATTCCCCTCAGGAGATAAAGGGCTGTGTGACACCACACAGCTGAGTGTTTCAGAGCCAGTGGAACTTGATCCAGTCCCTGGGCCTGCTCCAGTGGATCTTGAACTGCCCTTTCATGGGCATGGCAGAACCCCCACTGCAGCCAGGACCACTGGAGCATAAGGTCTGTGTGTGCAAATCTTGTACCTCTGTGTGATGTAGTGGATCCCTTGGGTCATTTTACTCCCTGGCAATGCAGCTATTGCTGAGAGAAGCCTGGCAGCCTGCCCTGCCTGGTGTGCCCCCGCAAAAGCTTTGAAGCCAGCAGGAGAGTCTAGCTGCTTTCCCACTGCCAGAGCTGTGTTCTTCCCTGCCACTTCCCCAGCTGTGCATCTTGGGCCCAAGCAGACCCTCTACAGAAGGGTTAAAAGTACTGCAGAAGCCAAGCCAAGGATATAAATCAAAGCTGTGTTGAAAGCACGGGGTTACAGGTGTTTGTCTGGACAGAAAGTTTCATGCAGGATACCAGGATCATCTCGTGACCTGATTTCCAAGCTGTTGGGTCAATGGCTTCTTTTCTTCTCTGACTGAAAACACAGACAGCATGTGAATTGGCAGTGGCCTCTCTGTTGGACAGATGTGAGATACACATCGGCACACAGGGAGGCTGTGGCACACTTGGGTCTCATGTGGAACAGATGGTGACTTCTATGGGAATTACCTTCTGGGTTGTTGTCACTGACATTAGTGGGTTTGGATTACTGCTTTCATGATAGTTTTGTAGGTTATTGTGTCAAGAAGCCACGGTCTGAGTTCTTTTTTTGTTTGCCTTGACCATTACACACGTTCAAAAGAAAAGACCGTTCAGGTGGGATGTATCTTATCTTCCTTGATCTGTCTGAAGGCCAGGTCTCTAGTCAATGTGTATGGATGCTCTCTGCTTCTCCCTCATCACTGAAGGTAACCAGAGTGATTCATTGGGGATGTATGAGAGTGAATCATCCGGCAGCACTGTCTGTCTCTGCTGGTGGTAGAGAGAGCCAGGATGATTAGCCAAGCCTAGACATTAACTCTAGGCTAAAGGGGCATGCTTTTCTTGCTCAGAGCCAGGGAAGTGTAAGTTTAATTTCCAATTAGCAGTATTTAGACGCAAATGAGCATAAGAAGAGCCTGGGGTGCTGCATGTCTGCAAAGGCATCTGTTGCCCACAGACAGATTGATGTGCTGCAAATGCTTCAGCATTCTACATGTGGCCAGAGCTCCTCTTTGCCACGTCTTCAGTGAGCATCTCCTGCATGATGAGACACAGAGAGGCTCCCTTTTGCTGAATCTGCAGGGACTGCTGTAACTTCTGGCAGGATGTACATAGACAGCTAGGTTGGACATAGCACAGAATCATTAGGGTTGGAAGGGGCCTCTGGAGATCATCCAGTCCAACCTCCCTGCCAAAGTGGGGTCACCCAGAGCAGGTGACACGGGAACACATCCTTTGGAATATCTCCAGAGGGAGACTGCACATCCTCCCTGGGCAGCCTGTTCTGGTGCTCTGTCACTGTATCTTAAAGCCTAGTAGAAGCTGCCAGTGGAGTTCATCTATCAGAAACCTCACTCCTTGTTTCCTCATGCCAGCAGCATATCCAGGTCACTTAGAGGCTGGAGAAGATAAAAGTGTGTCCCCCTTCCCGTGGGACACATCAGCACCTCTTAGGTCGGTGTTGCTTCACTCAAACCAGGCAAAGCAGGGGCCACCTTTTATGATGTTAAGCATGGTGCTGTTGACATGATGTTAAATGAGCACTGGAACGTAATTAAAATGGCATCCTTACAGTTTCTGGAAGACCCCTCTTTCTCTGGGAGAAGGAGAGCTGCTCTGTGTCTTATTTTGCTGTGATCAAGTTATTCCTACTGGACAGCGTGGAAGACAAATCAGGGAGTTTTGGAAACCATCTCCTGAAGAGAATGAATCTGGATGCAGTGCAGCTGGCTGTAGAGAGGTGAGACCAAGCAACAACTGCAGTACACAATTGCTATTCCTGTTGTCCCTCTTCATCTTCTTTTTATACATATATAAATATGGTCTTAGATTATCTGAGTTTTCCAGCTCAGGCATGCTTTAGTTCTGGTGTTGGCATTCAAATCCAAGACTATTTATGGAGATAATCTGAATTATTTCATAATTATGAGAAATCCTGGGGAGGCATCTCAGTGTTTACAGAGGAGCATCTTGCTGTACCACACTCCAGATATGTCAACACAGCCAAATCTCCTTTTAGTGTGTTATAGTTTAATTAACTCCACATCTTGAGTCATAATCTGCTTCTCTGGGGCTGAAGCAAAGTATCACACACACACAAAAGACAAGATGCAAAATCTAAAGAAGTAATTGTGATCTTTGCCACTTGGATTTGGTACCATCTGTTAACATGGCTTCTCCTAAAGTTTCCAGTTTGTTGAATTGGAGTTTCATGCCATGGATAACATTTCCCTTCATTGTGAAGCTGTGAGATGTAGCTCCCCTGAGAAAACCACCCTAGCAGTCTGAGATCTGGGGCATAATTGTCTCCTGCTCAAGATCATCCTGCTTCTAGAAAGCAGCAGCACTGTTTGCTGTAGCTGAGGATCTACTCCATGAAGTCTTTAAAGGCCAAATTCTAATTGGGCAGTGAAGCAAACTGTCATCCCAGAGAACCAATTACCATGAAAACCTTGGCAGAATTTCCACAGGTGTGCTAGATGCATCTGGACTTCCCAAACCAGAGATCAATCTTTGCCTTCTCTAGAATATTACTTTACTATTAACTTTGTCTGTTTACCCCTCTGTTAGAAGGGTTGGTATTTCTGATTTTTCATGCTCTTTTTCACTACTCCTGTCTTTCAAAGACAAGGTGTTGGAGGGATTTCGAGAGCTGAAATACTGAATGGAGATGTTTGTAGCTGTTGAGTGTTTCAGGGGTGTCTCTCACATTGGAACATCCTACACAGAGGTGTCTGTGCTCACCAGGGTGTTTGCTTGTCTGGTCTACTGGCTGAGGTGAAAGTGATAGATTGCTACACCAGCATCTCTGTGGTGCCCAAACCATCATGCTGTGGGGACACAGGGTCTGGTCAGCCTCTCCTGCCTACCAGTTCCTCCTGGGCTTCCCACACCTCTCAGCTCTCTGAGATCAGTGGTACATCTCATTGATCTTAGCATTCATTGTGAAGACCTTGGCGTGTGGTTTGTTAACCTGGCTACTCCAGGGCAGTTTGCCTCTCTGTTCCAGTGGCATTCCCGGGTCTGTTCTTCCAGTCCTCCACTTCGAACCCTCCCGATGCTCCACCATCAAGTTTTTGGGAGATTTTCCTTGTGTGTGCACTTTTCCACACATTGGTTACCACTTCTCATGCTTTTCTTGTTATTCTCACTGGTGTGCAGAGCCTTGGCACCATATATGACAACTCTTGCCTCTGTCACTGTCCTTGCTAAGCAGCAGTCACATCTCGCTCATCTTGCCCTTACACACTGCAGAGACTCATGGCATCAGGTTGTGTATCTTCTTCCTGTGTAGAGTTTTATGGTCCTGTTTTTTGTTGGTCATGTTGATCAAGCAAGGACAGAGGGAGCATGAAGCACTTAAATGAGATCAAAGTCTCTCTTGAAACCTGCAAAGAGGGTAACCACCATTCTCCTAGAACAGGAACAGAAAAAAGCAGCTTGTATCGCTCTGTGTAACGATCATAGCAATAAGAATGGGAAATAGTACACTTCCCTCATGTCTTTTTGCAGTTCAGGAGTAGATGAATGACAATTTTGGTTCCTTCTCCTCAGATTGAGGAGCGGATGACTAATGTCATTGTGACTGGTGCCATCTAATTGGTTCAAAAGAATTTTCTGGTTGTTCCCATGATTAGCATCACTTCCCATCATGTGCCAAGCACTGGAGTGCAAAGACCTCCTTTTGAACTGTCATGTTATGAAGAAGATGTAGAAGTACTGGGTTTATGAAGCAATTCAATGTATATAACGTATGTATGAATCAGTATTCTGATCTTCTTGTGCAGCAAGTCATGATGACTGATCTATTTCTACAGTTGCTAATTATATTATGTTAAAAAATACTTGGTGTTGAAGTGACTTTTATGCGAAAATTCTGTGAAGTTGAAATTTAAGAAGGACTCACTGGGATGGTATAACTGAAATATTTTGCTTTGAGTCAGTTTGATCCATTTCAAAACAGTTTATTGTGTTGCTGTGGGTTACTTAATGTTGAGTCTGAGCCATTTGCGTGAGCTGCTGGTATTTTTGGGACAGGTAGCATTGTATCCTGATTATTTCTTACAGCATTATCTCAACCTCTGCATTATCTAACCAAGGGTGTGTTGCAGTCTCCCTTCTTACCTACTGTAGTGCTGGATCATGGGAAAAAGGGACAGAGAGCCTCACTCTGGACAGGTGAGACAAACTGATGTCAAACTGGGTCAAACCAAAATATTTTGCTTTGGTTCAACTCATTGAAATGAAGTGTTTCAAACCACTTCGTTCTTTAATCAAAAGGAAATAACATGTTTGGCACTTGCTAATTTCAGATTTATGAAGGCAGGGGTGTGAATTTCTCTTAGATGATGAAGAAACATCATCTAAGATGGGGGTTCCACCATAGTGCACCGTACACCAGCCTAGGGAGAAAAGGGCTTTTATGCTCAGTTTGAAAGAGGCCAGAGCAAAAGTTAACAGTTTAAAGGAGTGAATATTACAGTAGCACCTTTGGAAGGTTAAGAGGGAAATGTCAGTACAAACATGAGAAAAGAACCTGACATTGTAGCACAGACTCAAATTAAATACTTAATAGGCGTGTTAGAAATTTGCTGGGGTCAGTCACATAGAGCATTCATACAGCTCACTCTGTAAGGACAGGAGAGAAGGAGCAGCATTATCCATGCTTGTCCTGAAGCTGTGGAATAATGGACAGACTTGGCTGGTGAAATTAGAAAGAGAGAAAGAGCAAAGCCTATTTGACAGGTGGGTACAATTTAAGCCACCTACCTGGGACGAGTGGAAAGATCCTTTTGATTGACTCTTGGAAGCACTTTTTAACCAAATGTCAGTGCCAATGGACACTTTTATGTGGATATTGCATGGAGAGGCAACATGGCAAAAAAAATATCAATGTATTACCATTTTGGGATATGTTGAGGCAACTCTTGTTTCACAAGGTAGAAGTTACTGGGGAGCTATTTAAGCTGAGCCTTACCAAGAGGACTTACCTGTGCATAGAATCACAGGCTGGTTTGGGTTGGAAGGGACCTTTAAAGGCCATCTAGTCCAACCACCCCTGCAGTGGGCAGGGACTTCTTCAACTAGAAAAGGCTGCTCAGGCCCTGTCCATCCTTACCTTGACTGTGTCCAGGGATGGGGCATCCACCAGCTTGGGGAGCCTGTGCCAGTGTTTCACTGCCCTCATTGTAAAAAATGGCTCCCTTACATCTAGTCCAGTTCTCACTTCTTTTAGTTTAAAAACATCACCCTGTCCTATCCTACAGACCCTGCTAAAAAGTTTGTCCCCTTTTTTTTTTATGAGCTCCCTTTAAGTATCTACAGAAGGAATGTTTAATGAAGTTGGAAATATGAATCCACGTAAGAAAGAGGTTTGGATTCCTGGACAGACTGTCAGTTTGTACAGACCTGGATTGTAAAATTATTTAAAAAGATTAAAATTGCCAAGAGTAGTTAATGTTTAACTAATGTAGTTTCTCAGTTTATAGGGCAACTAGTATGAAGTAGATATTAGATATTCATTTGATCTTAGTCTTGGCTTTCAGCATCATACTTGATTATATTCTCTGGTTGGGTTACCAGTCAAAATCTGGGTGATAACACTGGGTAATTTGACCCAGTCAGAGTTGTCTGGTTGCACAGATATGTTGATGAAGTAAGGTGGGGAGACACAGCTCAAATGTTCTAATTGCATGAGTAGTAAAATCATGGCACAGATAACTTAGGGAGAAAGTGGAATATTCTTGACTGAATTTTTGCAAGAACAAGTGTGACAAATGTTTTTCAGAGATGGTCTAAATTACTTATTCTACTTTACAGCAAGTGAAGAGATTAAATAATCCCTCCAGATCACCTCTAGGCGTGGATTTTTAACATTCTATAAACTAGGCACTTTGGGGTCTTTTAAGATCACTGATTCTCAGGTGGGGTCAGGACAGGGAAAGATACGGTACTATGGAAATTTTCCTCAGGGAAGGTGTTCATACAAGTACAGCTTTTGCGATTTACTGAAAAGAATTATTCTTTATCTGCTCTGCAGAACCTAAGACAAGAATGCCCAACTTCCCAGGCTGAAATACTGCACATCAGACCAGCAGAAGCATTCCTGGAGGCTACAGTAGGTTATATGAAAATGTTAAAATGTTTTTGCATAAGCCTAATTTTATTAAAGAGTTGTGTTCTAATGATGAGGAACAAAGGAAGGGCATGTGAAGAAATGTGCAGTTGCATGGTTTTCATTGGCTAACAGATCATGAACTGTGTTTGTAAAGATTATTCAGCAGTTTCAAAAACCAAAAATATTTAAGAAAATCATGCCTTTCTGGAGGCATCTGGCAAACAGATAAAGAACCAAAGTTCATTAATAGATAAGTCATTGCTTCTGTGTCCTTGCCTGAGATACCCACACAAAACTCTTGCTGGCTTCAGCAGGTGATGTGGTCAGCCTGGGGGAGTGTGGCCTCTTGACCAGGCTCTGGCCTGATTTCAGTCTCACATTGCCTAAAATCACCAACAAATCAGTCAGAGAGGAAAGACTGCCTCAATCAAGGTCCTTCTTTCTCCCCATCCTCCTCTCATCCTGCTCATTGCATTTTCTGCTCCTCGCATGCCCAGGGTCTTGCTGACCCTTTTTCAAGGTGGTGGCCACGTGGCTGATCTCCCTGCAAAGCCCTGACTTGTGGGTGATAGCCACAGAACTTCTTGCCTTTGCTTGGCCACCACTGCTTTCTTCCAGAGTACCTTGCCCTTGCTACAGGGATGGTTGTTGCTGGGGCTGGTGAAGCAGGGGCTGATTTGCAAATTATAAACTTTCAGTAATTCTATGTACTTTTATACGGAATTACAGAAGTACTGATTTAATTGACTCCATGGATTTGCAACCAGCAGTTCAGCAGCTGCTTCATGAGCCATCCTTGCAGGAGGGGAACGTCAGAGGGATGGGTGAGTTGGATGCTGAGAAGTGGGAATTGATCTAGTCATCCCAAGAGAAATCATCCCCATTTGTGAGTCAAAGCCTGCCTGTCTTGCCTGAGATGAAGGGAATCTCCCAAGGGCAGCTAATCTTGCACGATCGCATCACTTCAGATCAAACATCATGATATGGGGTCAATAGATAGTTCTAAAAGTACACGCAAACCTCGTTCAAATTCACACACAGCTCTAGCCAAAACACAACCCCAAGCATGATCCAAATAACCTCCTCCTCAGCCCACCTTCATCACTGTTCTGCTTCAGTGGCAGATGCAGCACAGAAAAGATGCCTGAATGCTTAATTCAGAAATTTACTGTTTAAGGCATTACTTGTATGAACACCAGCGTAACACGTAGAATACCAGTGCCCTAAATTTAGTAGGTTTGTCTGAGTCATTTTCACTCTGTGGGAGGGCTGTGAAGACACTCCACAGAGTGGAGAAACTTGCTGGTGGTGTCTGTCCAATGAGATTATTTTTTTAAAAAGTCAGAACACAGCAGAACTACAGATATATGTTTGTGAGTAAAATGCAGTTTTGTTGCAGACTTCAGCACAGGAGAGGGGCGGTGTTGCTCTCCACCCACTTCAAAAGCTGAAGTCAAGTTTGACTCGTACATATCTCTGACACTGAAATAGGTACAGAATTTTTCATGGCAGCAACACAGAGACACAGGTAAACACTCTGGCTGCGTGATTGGGAGGGACACGGTGTGGTGTAATCCCCAGATTTGTCTGTGCACTCGCATCTTGTTTTCAGATCTCCTAGCAATAGCAGCTGAGTTGATACAATCCTACATGTTACCAACCAGCAGGCAAAAGTTATTCCAGACTTACTCACTGAGAGATGAAGTGTTGTCCCACTGAAGAGCAGGTGACTTTTGCCACATAAGCCAATCAGTAGGGCTAGAGATACACACATAGTCTTTGAAATAGATGTGGGCACAAGTAGTTAGGTGTGGATGTGAAGGAGGCATTTAGACTTGGTGTTCTGAGCTGATAACACCTTTCTGCCAGTCTGGATTTTATTCTTGCTCCATTAATTATCCTCTCTGAGTGAGTGCAGCTGATTTCAAGTTGATATGAATTTAGCAATTTCATTTTAGAGAGTCTTTCTGGGACCCTGTGGAATAAAACTGCTCCTCTCCTCCAGTAAAAACCTAACTTCAGTGCCTTATTTTAGCCAGAATTGATCATGTTTTTATTCTGAATAAAAGTTAGTTCTAGCTCAATTTATGCACTGTATCCTGTCTGATATCAACCATGGCAGATATGTAAACATACTTGGGCTTGACCCTATGACCCTGATTCTCATGAGTGGTGCCGCAGAGTTCAGGGCTCTGCTCACACACACCGGAGGATTGGTTGTAATGTGTTTAATGTCAGTGAGATGAACTCTGTTTCTAGAGAAGCTCTAGTAAAATCAAAGGCTTGTTAATAGAAAAAGTAGTTAGCTGTTATCCTAAACAGAGCAAAATGCCAAATGAAATCCTGCTCTGCTATTTGTTCTCATGCCGGCATTTAGCTGCCAGGAAAGACCAATCTTATAAACATGAAATTATATCCATGGTAACATGCAAGACTTGTTTAATTTTGCAGCATGTTAAAAGGTACATTAAAAAATTTTTGTATTTTACTGTTGAGAATAGCACTTGTGACTTTTAAGTCAGCTATTTTAACTCAGCCTGAGAGATGTTGACTGGTGAAGGTAAGGGCCAGAGACACAGCTCCTTCCTCAGAGCACTTGTTGTTGCTAGACATTCCCAGAAGGTATTATTGCTTAAATACAGCTTGTGTTTTCTTTACCCAGATTTCTTTAACTGGGAAGATATGACAGGTTGTGATATTGGACTGCAGGGAAGCTCCACCTGTGCTGTTCTACCCTTCGTGAGGGAGCAGTGCTGGGCTGTGCAGCAGGCATGCTCCTGCCCTTTTCGGGTGAGTACTGGATTCAAGGAGCCTACTTTGTGATATGGCACCCTGGGATTATAAGCACCCTTCTCAGGAGCTGCTTAGTGACTCCTGAATCGTGATAGAAAGCAGACACTGCTCACAGAGCAGGAGAGCGGCTGGAGCAGGGAGCAGACTGAATTAGTGTCTGGGCTGGAAAATGTATTGGGAAAAGTAGCAGAAAGATCCCAACTTTGAGCAAAAGCTGAAGCTGAAAACTGCAGATGGTTTTCTTGCCTGTACGATAATGTCAAACCCAAAAAAAGGGAGTTTTCACACTCTGTTGTCTGTTTAGCGCAAAGTGAAAATTATGTACTGGAAAATGGAGCCCCATGTCTGGAGAAAACAGCTCTGACTGTACCTATACAGTCCCATACAGGGCTCTGTGGAAGCTGGGCTTGGCTGCTTTAAGAAGGTATCTGAAGTCTTGAGCTCTCTTTGTTGTGGAGTGAAGGGAGGGAAAAAGAGCAATGGGATGTGTCCTCGGTAGTTTTTATCTATTAACACCAGCATGATAATGCCACTTGAAGTGAATTGTGCCGGGAATCACTTCAAAAAACTAGAAATTCCATCTCCAAGAGCAGCAGAACAGCCTGTGCTGGTTGTGAGGGCAGGGCCAGAGGTCACAGTGGCTACAGGTGGATTCCACAAAGCATGTGGAAAAGAAGGACAGAAGAACAGGATGTTCTGGTAGCTACTGTGTGTGTCTTGAAGCAAGGGGCTGGTGGATGCAGTAGCCTGGGTGTGTCTGGCTCTGAAAAGACAGCAACATCTTTGAAGAATTCACATATATCTGCTGTCTTCCCTTTCTTCCCTTAGCTGTTCTCCAGGGTTCTTCTTTTTAGTTTTTCATTTTTAATTACACAGAGGTGAGACAAAGATGATACTTCGTGTAGAAATTTAGCAACACATGTACTAGCATGAACCTGTCTTAACAAAAAAGTGGAGATAATGTATCAGCACAGCCTGTCTCCTCTCTTGGATAAATCCCTTTTTATTTAGGAGAGACTCAGACCTGTCTCTAGCTGGACAAGGAGGTTGGGCTGTGCCTTTCCTGCTTTTGTAAAGTGGCCACAGACCATGTGTTCCAGCAGGGTGAATGGTTTGACACTGTGCCTCAGTTACTGGAGGTCCTGTGTTCAGCCTGGGAGAAGGGAGTGTCTGGGGTGCCTTACTACTAAGTTGTTTGCATGCTGGTGCAAGAGGAGAGAGGTGAAGCACCAGGGAGTACCAGAGTAGCATCCTGGGGGCCTGAGTCCACAGTAACTTTTTACATGTGACTTCAGTGAGAGTGGTCTGTTCCATATCTTTTAAATATTTTATCTTTAGGTGCTTAAGATGAGAGCCTGGGAACCTGAAGTACCTAATTTTGGAAAGAAAATTACTTGTTTGTGGGAAGTTTACTTAAGAGACTTCAATGGTCATTCTGTAATGAACTTTGCATTCTGCCTTGGGTGGTGGTGTCCCTCATGGGATATGCACAGATCAGCCTGCAGAGCTGTCAATACAAGGCATATTGCTGCATCAGCCCTGTGGATGCTCTGGTCTTTGCTCTGGATCTTAAATCTAGTCATGCAACTCTTCTCCTCTTGCAGGATGATGGTATCTCAAGCCCTGTCTGCTGGGTTCTTCCTGCTTTCATACTGAAGAGGTGTGTGGGAGAAGGTGGCCAGGCATACAGTGTTGTAATAACCTTCTACTGATGGAGGCACAGTGCTGGTGTGTGCTGGAAACGCACTCAGCAGTGGATGCAGCTGTTTCAGCAGAGCTGTGCCATCTACTCACGAATCTTGTGGGAGCAGGAGTGAAACAATACTTGCTGCAGAAGTCTGGGCTGGAGGGCAGTGGTGTGTGTGTAATACTTGAAGTGGGGTGCCATCCTAGCCATGGGTTTTACCCTTCCCATCCCAGTGCACGTGGCCAGTTGTGTGCATGGAGCTGGGATGTCTCCTGCTGCTGTCATTTCTGCTGGGGGAAGCCTCATTTAAAAGGTCCTTGAACACTGGCCAGGAGAACTGTGGCACCCATGGGGACACACTGGGACTCAGAGACTCTTGTAACTCAAGGATTTCCCCTAACCTTAACAGACCTCAGGGAAGACCTCCAGCACTTGGATCCTGAGCTCAGACCAGCCTCTGTCGGGTATCTCTGAGGGGAATTTAATTGAGTTTTCCTCATTTCATCATTTAGTGCCCACTGGTGGGTTCTTCTGTTGAAGAGACAACAGAACCCACTGAAAGGCTATTTTTCCATGAGGGTAACTTACTGGTGACAGCTTTGGTGGGTGGCTACTGAACCAAGAGTGTCAAAGCCAACATCTAAAATGACCTTTAGGCTGTTTACTCAGAGCAGTAACAGACTCGCCCCCAACTTCCTGATAAGGCCATCACTTATCAAGAAGTAAGAAGAGCAAGTGGCTAGATATGGAAATCACTGTGGGAGTGAGCCTGATTAAAAACATACAGCATCATACAGAGGTAATATTACTACACTGGTAACCTTTGCCTCTTCTGTGGAATATGTGTACAGAAAACAGGACAATTACCAGGAATTGGGAAGAAAAAGAAATATCTATTAAAAGTCAATTTCAAAACAAATTGAAAGCCTTCTCTTAGACTGACGTGTATAATTTAACTCTAGTGTCTCCCTGTACTCCATGATTCTTTTTCCTAACTATGCAGTAAGGTATCAGAAGTCAATGATTTTCCTCTCACTTAGGTGAAACTTTTTAGAAGAGCAGTCTAAAGTAAACCAAGAGATTAAGTAGACACTGAAAATTCAGTAAGATCTTAATAGCTAGGTATGCAGAAAGCTAAGTATTGAATAGAAGCCAGTGAGTCTGGTTTTCACTCTCATTTAGAAAATTAGGTATTTACTTAAGATGAAGTTTTTATGTAATCATAAGACAAATATATACTTTAATACATGCCTTGAGAAGTCCTTGGTATTTTAATAATCTACCTCAATAAGCTATGTTGTAGCATTTCACCATCTCAGACTAAACTTGGTTTTAGCTAATGTTCACCTGGTTTTGTTCAAGAGGTTGTTTTTTCTTTTAATTAATTTTTCTGTTTATTTGAGTCAAAATAGCAGCACCCTCTAATCCCACTTTTATATTTGCTAGAGAATGTCTAGACCGGCTGGTGTGAGGGTTTTCATCCTGGAAGGTTTTAGTAAGATCCTTCTCCACTTGGTATAGACGTCACACAAGTACTGAAACTGAAAGTTTCAAATGCGAAACAGCACCTAGCAATAAACTTTTTCACCTTTTTTTTTTTTTTTAAAGGGAAAGAAATACCATCTTCTGGCAGTGTTTCCTCTCAAACCTCAGAGACTTGCTGATCTGTCGTGTAGATCTGTACTGTGGTTGCAAAATATCAAAACAGAACTAAGGATTTTTATATCTACTCTTCCCACCCAGTGCTCACAGCTCCTTCCCCCTTGCCTGTCTGTCGGGTAGTTCCTGAAGGCGTTGAGGAGACAGGAAGGGAAGGGACACAGAACTGACCATTGGACAGATAAATGGACAGCACTGCCAACAACTGAGCCTCATTTCTTGAGGAATATAGCCTGAAAATGCCTTGATAATTAGAATGGATGATGAATTTTTTATTTCTTGAGGAAAACTACAGGGTTTTTTGAGGGGGTTGGGGAGGGAAGCGAGGTAGGAGCAACTGGTTTCCATGTCAGATTAAGGAACTGGAAGTGTTCTGGGTAAATGGTCCGTTCTCTTCCTTAAACTCTGGACTTCTTAAATGTGAATGATGGTTTTCTGTTGTCTTGTGCTGTTGTGATTCATCATGAGAATATTTAGCAATGATGCATGTTGAACATGGAATCCAGTTGCAGCTATGAGGTCCATGAAGGATAATGACATCCAGACCATAAATCCAGTTAAGTCACTGGGATGTTCTATTTCTTATCAAATTTTGGAATTTTCTCTGCAATTTTCTATGCAAAGCAGGCACTTGGAGTGGAAAAGGTCATTTTGATAAAAATCCAACTTTTCACTAAAATCAGTTCTCTTCAGCACCCTGTCCCAAAATCTGTTATGTTCACAGTGTTCCAGAACAGCTTTACCATCTGTCAGAAACATTTTTAGGTAACAAATTATTCAACCTAACTGTGCCCTATCTTTGCCACACCAGTTGTGTGTGTCTTTGAACTTCCTTGGGATAGATAATCCTGAGGCTCCCCAAAGCTGGCAGAAATCCCGAGACACTGAGGGGGACCCCCTAGAGCCAGGAAACAGAAACGTCAGGAGGACATGGGTGTTTCTGAAGTACCAGCCCTCTCTGAGGAGAGATGTCTTTACCTACTACTGCAGAAAGTGTGTTCCAGCACGGAGGTAGTGCTGTTCCAGAAAGGAGCGTATGTCTTGCTCTCCCTTTAAAATGGAACCTCCTTTGCATATTGTGTATGCTGGTAGGAGGTGGGAGGTCACACTCAGACTCTTCCTGACAAGATCTGAATTCATATTATCCACCTCCAGTTACTGCCTAAAATGTATGAAAAGTGCTCAGATAAGGGATTCTCTTTCAGCCGTGTGTCCTAATCTCTAGGCTGAAGATTCAACCCTCTTAGCATCAAAGCCTGAATTTTTGTTGCATGATTTCAGCAGGTTTAGAGGGTAGTCCCCTATCCAAAACCCTGTGGTTAAGGCATTTTTTGAGGAGGTGAGAGACAAGGGTTTGAACTGATGAATGCATATCTTATGCTTCCTTTCAAGAGCATGCTAATTGCAAGAGTGTGATGTGAGAAGCAGACTGTGTTGCCACTGTCGAATTGCTTACTCGGCCTGGGTTTTAAAAGCAAGTGGCCCCAGCCAAGTTTGGGAGCCCAGGCAGCGCTGGGTCAGTGTGCTCGTGGCTGTGCTGCCTTCAGTGTGGCCTTTCTGGGTCTGGGCTTCAGTCTATAAGGGATTTCGGTCAAGTCTCTGAGCTTGCGGAATATCTTGGGGATATGGGAGGCAATCAGAGGGCAGGGGC